TGTAAGTACATGGTGTTTGTTACAGCATTTTAAAAGGCCATTTTTCTTTCTCTCTCTGTGGCTAATGACACTTCTTTTACATACATATATATTACAATTGTATATATATATTAATTATATATACATATTGATCCACAAAGAGGATTGTAAAATTCACTTAGAAAATTGGTGTTGGCTTCTCCAAAGTCCTGTGCAACAGAACAATATAGATTATTTGAGCAATCATCAAGCAGAAAAGGTGTTCTGGCTCTACTGCCTAAGTTTCTTTTGGAAACTCAACTATCTTGATGCTCATCTATCCTTGTTGCTTGTTGTTTTGTTTCTCTCTTTTCATGGTGAAATTAATTTCCTGACTCCTTTCTCACCATTTTATGTTTTACTTTTTGTCTCCCTTCCCCTGCTTTTTTGTCTTGGTTAATACATTAAATTGTGAATCTCTGGGAAATATGGAAATACTGCAAAGCTGGGGGGTTTAGGGAGGGACTTAGGCAAAGCGGGGATAGATACCCTGGTAGGTTACAGCTGAGGCAAAATGTAGTGCTCTAATCTTACCCATATTTAGTTCAGCAACATTTTTGTGGCATAGACAAATAGTCCTGTGCTAGTTAGAGTTAACATGAACACATTTAAATGGCTAATAATCTTCTCATGTTTGATATTGCAGGTCAAGATCAAATACTTCTTTTCTGTTTCTCTGTCCTTCCCTGTCATATTTTAATCATCCTCTTTTTGTGTTAATTATGTGCCCCAAATATCAAATAAAATGCTGTTCAAAACTTTGTTGTCTTCTACCATTTTGGTTCTTACGGTTCTGGAAAGATCACAACTCAGATGAGCAGTCACTGGCTCAGACTATTCAACCAGGCTGAAACATTAGGTGGAATAGAATTTTAGATGGCATGAGAGGATTTTACACAAGAATAATACATCATTTGAGCCTTTTTAGAACTTAACATGTCTCTATATTGCTGCTTGAGCAATGCTAATTTGAATAGCTGTAAGTAAAGATGTTTTCACCATACTTGGGGAGGTGAGCAAATTCCATTGAGCAGCAATTTTCCTGCATGTTTTCTTTTGTATGATTGCCAGCAGCCAATTTTGTAAATTTTGTGCTGTTGGAATTACTCTTTCATATGAGAAAATCCTGTTGTAGTTATAAAGGTGGTACTACAAAGGCAAGAACAGTGCAGGCAAGGTAAAAAAAGCTGCCAGTAGCAAGAGGGTTGAGAATCTGGCCCTGGTTTACATATGACCATTTTGGGTTTATATAACTCTTTTGTGTTTGTTTTTATTTCACTCTGGGCTGTCTAAGCATTTCACAGGCAGTTAGCTCCCACAGAATGATCAAGTTTTTATTCCATGTATTTTACAAAGAGTCAGCGAGGAGCTGAAAAGTTGAGTGATTTGCACAAAACCCCTCTCTCAATATCTGCACTGAAGCCTGTGATGAAATTCAAGTCTGATTCAGAGTCAAGTGCTCCTGTGTGTCCTCCACAATCTCCCTGCCGATCTGATTTCGCCAGCTACAAGCTTCTCTGGCTCTTCTGTATCAAGTTCCACTGGTACAACTGCCTTGGAACATATCTGGGTTCGATTCTCTTGTATTGTGCAGTGATAAGCATTGCAAGTTGATCAGAAAATATGTGGCTGGTAAACACCAGATTCCACCTTTCCTGAATGATTAGCTGGCTTTTTGAAGTCCTAATGATTTTAATTTGGCTTGGAGTCAGTGAGTAAGAGTATGCAAAGCCTTAGCCAAAGTACCTATTTATTTATGTAAATCTTATCAGCACACATTTCTTCAAAGAAGAGTACCTATCTCTTTGTCTAAGCGCTTTTTAATAAATATATAAATACATAAATGCATAACTACCAAGTAAACCAGCTTAAATTTTCTCCATTGTCTCATAGATGACAGCAGTTAGTAGAAAGTGGTTTTCCTTGGTGAACAGGGTTTATAGTGTTCCTGATTTGTAGGAATGATAATGTCTGTTCAGTTTCATTCTTCATTTTTCATTTCAGATTTTTTTAAAAATTAACACAGCTTTTTTTCCCTATGGCTGTTCTGTCTGTCTTTATAACACAAGTTTGGGTTTTATTCCCAAAGAAAGGCTATGAATAGGTTAATGATTTGTTTAAAATGTGGATGGAGTTTCTCCAGACAGAAATTGCTCACTCTATCCATTTGTCTTCTGGACTTGACTATTTAAAACTTGGAAGAATAATGTTCCCTTTCCCCAGGTTCTCTGGAGGGGAAAGATTGTCTCTGTGATTGTTTCAGATATTTGCAAAATGAATGCTAAAATTGCAATACTGCAGTAATATAATTTTTTTAAACCCTCTACTTGTCTGTTCCAGTTCTTTACTTGTAAGAGACACATTTAATGAGGATGCTTTTTGTTTCCTTTCTTCGGGAGTGCTCCCTTAATCTAGTGATATGCTGGAAAAAGCTTTACTTAAAGGCAACAGAGATGTTCTATGCTATGGCAATGTGATTTAAGTGTTGAATTGTATACAATAATTTATTGCATTTTTAAGGAAGCAAGGTCCTTACCTGTGACATACAGTGGCTTAAAAAAGATTGTGATAAAAGATATATTTATAATTAATCATTAAATCATTAATTCATTAAATATTCAGAGTAAATCAGATAGGACTAAGTCCACTGAAAAGTCAGCATGTGTGCAAGTATACTTCTGCAGGTGAAATACTGCATCTATTAAATGACTATATTGAGCTGTGCAATATTACTAATATTTAAGATTTTCCTATGAGCACTTTCTTCAGCTGCAATTCCGAACGATGCTGGAAATTACTTGCAAAGGAAATTCATAATACAGGCTGGGTTCTCTAAGAGCTTTCGAAAATAGCAAATATCTTCTTGTAGGTTGCTGTGCATACAGTTCATAAAATTAAATGTAATTATGCTGCTGTTTGTTGTCTGAGTTATTTTCCATTCAAATGCCATGTACTTAATTGAACTGGAAGGGAAGGAATTTGGGTCCATTTTCCCTGATGCTGGGTCTCTGGTGTCAAACAAGTCGACAGTGATCTTGGCAGTGTGGTGTTTTCACACCAGTTCAGGCAAAGGGGTCAGTTCAGCTGTGCCCCTTCCCTGTGTGTTTTGTCATTTACTGGGGTTCAGACCGCTTGGAGATCTGCCTGCCCTGGGCCATCAGGATGTTTGGTTTTATGGAGCTGCACAGGCAAACGACGCATTTGAAAGTTTCCTCACAGGACTCTGAATTAATCTACAAGCTTGTTGGAGATTCTTCTTTTGAACAGAAGTTTGCACGCTATTTTGTTACTTTGGAAGTTTTCCTCACAATATCTTTTATTCATTTCTTTCCTGAAATCAACAGCTCAATTTTTTTTGATCTTTCTTTTTTTCTCACAAGTATGTACACCACAATTATGGCTTGAGTTGAGTCCTTGAAGTCCTTTTGTTGTGGCAATATCATTGTCAATAGCAGGCCTATGTGTTCAGTTTTATTTATATAAGAACAAAAATATTTTCTGAATTATTTTCTCACATAAATTCTTTACCTTTTTTTTAAACTCCATTACTCCTACTCATGGCGTAAAGTACTGAACTTGCAAACTAAAACCCAAATCTCCTTCTTGAGTCAACACCATTAATTTATAAGCCAGTTAAGTATTTGAGTGCATTGCATTTGTCAATATTGGCTTTTCCCTGCTATTGTGTTTCTCATTCTCTTAGGTTAGTTAGGTGTATCTGAACCTCTGGTCTAGACTCACCTGCACATTTTTGTGTCATTCAAAGGTTTGTCACTTCTCTGACACCTCCTTTTTCTAATGACTAACACAAGTAGTTACCACCTATGCCAGAACAATATGGTTCCTACCAGTTCCTACCTGTTCAGCTTTCTACAAAGAAAGCTGTACTGTTTAATTCAAATATCTTGTTTTCTGTCCAGGTTTCTGAAAAGCTTTGTTCTTTTAGCATGGTTATTTAGTTACACCAGATATCTTTCTGAAAATCCATATAAACCATTTTTCCTTTAGTTTTCTTCTGGTGCATTAAAAATTGTATCAGATTTGTGATTGCTAAAACTGTGGAGAACAAATTCTACCTGTGATCTGTGTGTCTTTTGTTTTAATGACTGTTTCAATTAATTTGATTAATATTAATCTTATATCAAAATATATATGCTAGTCTAAAATTTCCTTGAATTGATCCTGTAAAGACTTTTAAAAATGTAAGTTCAGTGTTTGCTGCCATGCAGTCCTTAAATGAAGTCACTAGTTCTGAGAACAGTTTCCTAGAGGTTCAGTCAGCTTATTCTTAATTCTTTCCTATATTTTTGACTGCGTATATATTCTCTGTGGATTATTGACTTTAATGCTTATTTAATTTCTCTGTTGTTCATTCTTTTTCCCTTCCCCTCTTTTTGGGTACCTGTGTCCATGGTGGCATCTGATCTTTTCTTTATGTGGAAAGAATAGGGTGAGGTTTAAATATCTTTCTAATACATAGTTGGCGAAAACTGATGCAAGAAATTGTTTATCTTTTCAGCAACACCCTCATTTTCTTTAATTACATCTTCACCTATAATTCAAAAGACCTACTTATTCTCCCTTAACCGTCTTGGTGGTTATTGCGTGGTTTTTACCCACAGCTGTTTACTTCAGAGCCCATTTTGGACCTCTTTGTTTCCTTCTTACACAATGAATCTTATAATCTGCTTTGTCGACTGCACAAACATTGTATTTCCATATTCTGCATAACTTCATGTTGGAGTCCTATAGGTGGAATGGCTAGAGGGCACTTCAAAATTGTACAACAGGTCTGTAAACTGAGAAAGCGCTATACTAGTTTGAAGAGGACAGAATTCATTTTCAGGGTATAAAATTCATCTTAGCACTAAAAATGCATACATTTCTCCCTTGCCTGTAGTTGCCTACATTTGGTTTCTAGTCTCTAACATTTAGTTTTTCATTTTCTTATGTTAATACATTGGTTTCTGCTGATTTAACAGGTTTTAGATGCGGGAAGACTGAAAGAATATGGTGAGCCTTACATTTTGCTGCAAGAACAAGACAGCTTGTTTTACAAAATGGTGCAACAAGTGGGCAAGACTGAAGCGGCTTCTCTGATTGAAACAGCAAAACGGGTAATTTTAGAAGAAGAGATAATTAAGTTTGTCTCTGCAGTTTGTTTATCTCAAGTTAGCATATTCAGTGTTGCAGTAAGCCTTCCACTAAAGGATCTGTCAGTTTTGCAAGGCAAAGCCATAATTTTCAGTGGGATATACACAGACTTCCAAATGATACATGTATTTATATACCCTGAGTTGAAAGACTGGATTTCTTGCATCCTTTTGTGTGTACACAAAACAGTAAGTGTAAATAATATAGGACATACTCACTTGTGCTGGGCATTGATCTTAACTTGCTGTAAAAAACATGTTAGGGCTGCAGAATCAAACATTTATCTGTTATGCCTTTATTTTTTAAAGGGTCCATCAGATTTTAGGTGGGGCTTAGTACCTGTGACCATGCCGTGGTTCCTGAGGGTTTGATCACATTCCTTCTGTTGCGTATTCATTCCCTTACTTTGTTCTTGTACCCTGGCTCTCTGTTCCGCACCAAAGATGAGCAGGGCTCAGCTGAGAAGCAAATGTTGAGTGTTTTCTCGCCTTCTTGTTCCCTGCAAGGCTCTGTTCCTGATTCACTGTGAACTTTTCAAATCCTACTTGGAGTACAAAATTATTAATGTAATTGTGGGCATTCCTCTGGCAATCAAAGTGTTTAAGAGACATCAATGGATTAATTTTCATAATACGCCTGTGAGGTGAGGCTGTATCATCTCCACTTCTCAGATGGAAAGCTGAAACAGAGATAAAGAGATAAAAAAGAATGACCTGTGATTGAGGATCTCTTTGACTAGCTTTGGCTTGCTTTCTTTTTTCTTGATAATTTACCATGCAGGCTGTCCAGAGCAAGATTTTAATTCTCTCAGTGCCAACAAAGTTTTAGCATTGCTTCAGCTGAGACTGGCAGTGCTCAGTTTGGCAGCAGCTTGCTTGGAGCTCATGTAACTGTGCTTTCAGCAGCCGAGAAAGGCAGTGGTATTAAGCTGGTAACAACCTAAGAGAGCCTTTTACAGGCCAGAGGCAAAGCTCTTTAGCCTTGCTGCTTTCCTTTCCTCAAGTTGCTGGATGTGTGGAGCAGGGCTAGAGGATCACAAAGTCTAAAGTGTTACCACAGGGAAACAAAAGACCAATAGACAGGGAACAACACACAAAGACAGGAAACAAAATAGAAGGTGCTTGACTATTTTCCAGTAAAAAAATAGATGAGTTTCCAGCAAGCCGGAAAAAAATGAAAAGTTGTGCTGTCATGGAGGCTGTGTGCTCATGTCTGGATGCTGTTTCACTGGACTTTTTGAAGATTAGGGAAGAGATTTCTGTGTCTGTTCGTATTCTTAGATTTTATTTTTTAAGGAGGTTTTCAAGTAAAGCACTGTAGCTGAGAGCATACCCTATAAATTCTTGTGTAGCACAAATTGCAGACATGCAAGAGGAAACAATTTTATCTTGAACTAAGCAGTGTTATGAGTACTGCTGTCCACTTCCACTGCTTCATTTATTTTCTTATTAGGAAGGAATGGCTTAGCCATGTTTTCTGTGGTATGTGTATGACAATCTGGAGGTTATATAAATGGTATTTAAAAGGGTAGCTTCAAATCCATGTGACCATTGTTTGTCTGTAAAGTGAAGGCCAGCTTCCTAAGGCTTTCTCCTTGGAAAGGCAAGAGGTGAGGCTGTCCAGCTGTCATCTATAGAAATTTCGCTATGTCATGCTGTCATTCCTTCCTTCCTTCCTTCCCCGGAGCCCTCCCCAGTTGCACAATTGAATTCAAAGATGATTCAAAATGTATAAAAATAATTGCCTGATGTTACTTGCCCATATAGTCATCTGCAGTTACCACATCAATGTTATGTGATTTTGTACAGGAAGGGAAGAGATCCAGGAACCGGTCTCTGCTGAAATGTGGTTTGATGAAAAAGTTTGCTAACTCCCAGGCTAGAAGGCAGATACAAGCCTTAGCATCTGCCAAGAATGCAAAGCATGGTGCTTTTCCACACTTGGACCAAAAATATGGGAATCAAGAGACTGTATCTCTAGTCAGCAGCTACCCAGAAGCAGAGTTATAGTTCTTTCTGTTTGAAGGACTTGGACAATTCAAGGGTTTTGTTGTTGCTGTCCCTTGTGCTTCATGCATACTTTCAGAGAAGTCGCTTAGTCAGAAGAGCTGATTCCAATGGTTTTTCTTTTTACACTACTGAGTCTGCTGCATGTATTGCTGTTGGCTTCCCACATTCCTACTGTGGTTACTAAGAACTGTTTTTATGAAGAACAGCTTGCTTTCTGTTTTTGGAAAACAGCATGCTGCACATAAAAAGAAATGGTAATATGACATACATACATACTTTTCAAAAAGCGTTGCAGTGGGTTGCTAAGTAAAATGGTTTGGAATGTGGTTATGCTTTGGCAATGATTATTCAATTTGTTCTATTTTGGACCTGAATCTTGATTTATTTCATTTTGGACCTGTACAACACAAACTTGTACGAATATCTTCTTTCAGTAAGCTGAAACTTCAAATGCATTTTCTAGAAAAGTATTGATTCTGCTATATTCGCATATATCCTTTAAGTGCAAATGAAGAGGTACTTCACATCTTAAATTGGGAAAACTAACTTGGACATATTTAAGAAACATAAAATCTCGTGGGCCTCTTAGTGAAGCATTGCAATACTGAGCTGTTGCTGGAACCTTAGCTCAGGCTTCCAAATTGATCCAGTTGCTATTGTATGGCTCACTTGGTCACTCAGTATCCCCATTTTTTTGTGTAAATATCAAAGAAAGCAACACAGGCACAACTCAAATTGGCGACTGCTGAGTATGTATTGAACAGCCCGTGAGCTTGATGGCAACTGAGTTATGCTTGACATCATAAGACTGTTTTTATCTTTGCTCAATTTACAAGAAGCTGCTAAGAGAAAACCCTATGGGAAAGAGAGAAATAGTCATCAAGCAGTGAAAAGAAGAAAAAAAATAAAAATTCTCAATTATTCAGATAACCAGAAGTTGGTGTGTTCTCCCTGCTCTTGGCAGTGTTGAGAGAGGCTTTTCTGCAGGCTTTGGTGGCATCAGGATAGGGATGGGTTTCTGTCAGTCAGGTTTGAGTACTTTGAGGGAAAAAATAAGGATTGTTTTATTTTACTTTTAAGCTATGACAGATGTGTAAATATTAAAATACTAGGTGTTATCTCACCTCAGTGGTTACTTTTAAAATGGTTGCAGCTCTGTTGGCAGTAGAAGAAACTTGTATAAAGACTTGGGCATTTAATATCTTGAGGGATTGGGCTCAGGGGAAGAATTGCAATGAGACAGTTGAAAAGCAGCTGCCATTTCATTACATCTCTAGTAATGTGCCAAGATTTTCTATTAGCTTTCCATTAAAAAAAAAAATCACATTCAAAAGCTGAATTAAAAGTATGCCAAAGTTTTATGTTTTAAACCAGGAACGGGATGGGAATACTGAGGCTGCTGTCTGCAGCCTGTGTGCAGTCAGCAGCCTCATTAACTTTCCTCCGTTGCATCCGATTGTGACTGGTTACTGAGGAATGCCTCTTAACAGGACTCCCAATTCTTCTGCTGATTCAAATCAGACTTGAATATTCTTTGAAACTTGTAAAAATGCATATACCCTGCATTAGTGAGTGCACAAAAGATGACAGTGGTACTTACAGGAATATTTTTGTAGAATGACTATTTCTTTTTTATCCCATGTGTCTTATATATGTATTCATGTATGTGAAAAGGATATTATTATCAAACAAACTGAACTTTGTTGACAACACTCTTAAATATAAATTGCAGAAATGTTTCATAAGCTGTACTCAAAGCAGTCTGACTATGAGACCTAACTCGTGACACGTGTCAGCTTCAGAAAGATAGTGTATTTTCTGTTTTTAAAGACTCAAACAAAACTTTTCACATTCTTCTTTGAAAAAAAAATTGCATTTGAAGTCCTTTTTCACCCAACACATTTTTAGATAAGAGCACACAAGTCTTGACATTATTTCATTTTGTTATGCGCATCTGTCAAGGAACAGAGATATGATACAGCTGCTAAAAACTGATGATTGTGGAACAGTGAAACTTGACAGCATTTCATTTCCTTTATGTTCTGATTATACATTTATCAGGAAACCTGTATCTCTTCTAGTTGAGCTAGAAATTGGTAGAATTCAGGAACTCAAAGGCTGGGCAAAGAACTGTCCTATTATTTGGTATCATCTTACGTTTTAGAGAAGTTGCTTGGTTGAGTCATTGTTAAAGCTTTTGCTTCTTCTTTCATTATTGTGGTTCACTATCCTGAGATCACATTTCTATAGGCCCTATAACTGCTCTGCAGCACAAATTAAAGGCTGGGATATTTCATACATATACTTCGAAGTTTCAATGGTTGTCAATCATAGTTTGTAAAATATAGGGATTACAACCTGATTTTAACATCCAAATCCATTGTGTTCATTTTATGTGTGAAAATGAGAAACCCTTGTGCAGACGCAAGATTTCACAGCTTCTTTGTCATCCTGTTTTTAATTTATCTCCATGTTTTGAGCTAGTAAAATGATTTTACTTATCAGTTTAATGTAAAGTGATAAAACATATCTATTCATCTGAATTAACAAAATTTGAGGGAACTGACAGGTTGTGTGGGATTTTTCTCACATTTTGTTCTAATGTAAGTTCATATAGTAATTTTACTAATTTTTCAGTGACATACATTTACTGAATACCACTAACCTGAAGTTCCTGTTGGGATTCCTTAAGGATATATATCTCTACTATATTTATCTCCAGAAATATTGTTTGATGCTAAATGGACTTTTGGTGCCTAATTACTCATAGACTCTAATATTTTTCCTAGATATACTTCAGTAAGAATTACCCGGAAGTTGTTCAGAATGGTCAGCTTGCCACAGACTCCTCCTTGGATCCTTCCTCAGGATTATGCATAACTGAAACTGCACTGTGATTCCTCATTGCCTTAACTGTTCTCCTTAGAATGTAAACCTGAGACCTCCTAAATTCAGTGACAGCATTTGCAAGTGTCAACAGGCGAGGAAAGGGAGGGAGGGAGGGGGGCGATTCTTTGCACTGGACATCCTTCCTATTTAATACTGAGAAGAAAATTTTTACTGTCCCTGTTTCTTGCATTTCAGTGCAATATGTTTTTCTTTCCAACTAATTATGTTTGTATTGCTAAGGAAATTAGGCGGATTGAGTTTTTATTTGAAAGTTTTGTGGTAGAGATCTCTTTTATTTAAACAGGTGCAGGACACCTAACACGTCTAGTGTGCATATTTGGAGCTTAGTAAAATAATTGGAATGTGTCCTTTTTTTTCTTTTAGAAATATTTTGAGAGCAAGCAAAACCAAATTATTTTCGGTGTCACTTTAGCATGACAGCTCTGTCAGAACAGCAGATTTGGTAGTGTGCAACTTACTTGTCTAGAGCAACTGTCTTTCTGCCTGTCACAAGTACCTATGCAGGCTGGTAGGAAAAAAACTTGAAGAAGCCAAAATCACTTTTTCTTTTTGATAGAAAAGTACTATATACATTTTATATATATATATATATATATATATATAAACAGTTCAAATAATGCTGTTCAAGATGAATGTAAATATTAGCTTTATTTTGCTAAAATCCAAATGCTGAAAAATCTATCTCAAACTTCTGTACTTCAGAAGAAAATTACCACATTTGCACTGAAGAAATATTTAAATAATTTAACATACATTCCTCTTTTTACCCAGGTTATCAAAGAAAAAAAGGTATTAAAATAACTTGAGGAAATGTTTGAATGACATGTCATTATACCTAAATACTGTGTAGTACAAAGTTATCTTCAACACAACACATTGAAATGTATACATTATTTGCATTTATTGTGCCTTAATATTTGTGCCTTCAAGCCAAAGCTGTAACTGCAGGGTACACAGCAAATTCATTGGATATATGTTAAAAATATGTAACTTTAGTATGTTTAAAGTTTTGCGTCAGGGGTTCTGTTGAACTTCAGCTGTTTGAAGTTACCATCCTGCCAGAATAAGTAAGAAAATACAAGCTGTAGTTTCAAATGGCTGTTGCTGATAGAGAGGAATGCAGTGAGAGAGGGGTTCAATATTCATAAGTTATGTCCTGATTCAGCAAAGCACTTTAACACAAAGGCACTATTCCCATGTTTAAAAAATAAATCAAGCAAGTGCTATGCTGCTTCAGATGTTTTCAAATTTAGTGAGCTATTCTTTGAGGTCCAGTAGAAAATACATCTATTCATCTTGCTGTTTAAAGGACACAGGAGAGACTAAAATGCAACAGATTTCTTCAGGACATGAAAAATATTGTGCTTTTTAAAAAATACTGAAGATGCTTGCTATTACCTTTGTAATGCCAAACAAGTGTTATTTACTCCAGTGTTCATCCAGTGGCCTAAAAGTAAGGCAAACACGAATGTGTCTCATTTCAAGCAGTTCAACCGCTCTTTAATTTAGTCAGATACAAAGTTACTCCTTACTGAGAAATAAATTGAGGCCAAAGCCTCAACCACTCATCTTGGACATTTTTCTTCTGGGAGACAGCCCAATGGTGAGAACCCTTGTTCTCCTGTCACAGCATCCTCCCTGCACTGGGGCTTGCTGTCCTGCTGTGAGATCCCAGGAGAGAGGGAATTGTGTCTGCAGTGCCACCAGCCAGCTTTCTGAGGAGCTTTTGGAGCTTGTGGAATGAACATCAGGTATCTGTGCTTGCTGGTAACCTCCTCTTACATGCTTTGAAATCATTAGGGGAGAGTTACAAAATGAGATGCCTTTGCCCCTACCCTTTTTTTGTCAAGTCCTAACACTTCTCCTGCAGTGTGTAGCATCTTACACTGTAACAAGTTCCACTGAGATCAGTGGGACTGAGCGTGACACAGTGATGTGCAGCAGGAGGCTTGTGCTACATCTGATGATAAAATACCAGCCAGCCAGGGGCAGCTACCAGCCACCAAGCCACATGGCACAGGTGTGCTCATGTAAGCAGTGCTTATGGCAGATCCTTCTGAGAGCACACCAGTTATCATCCTGTGTGTTCAGTGGCTGTTTTCCTTTCAAGTTGTCTGAAATAAGGATTGGGCTGTAATGCCACTGAGTGAGAACAGTGGTTGCATAGCACAGGTATATGAAGGTGTAAAGTCATGTTAGATAATGCTGGGGGACTGTGTAGCGTAAAGAAAGTTCAACCTCATGGCCTTATCCACAACTGCCTTTTTGGCAAGGATCTATGGATCCATGTCCAAACTCTGCTCAAGCTTTGCTGTGGAAAGTCCTGGTTGGAGTGGTGCAAAACACAGCTAGGGTGAGCTGACCAGTAAGGCAGTGCACTTTGTCAAGTTGGGAGTTGGAGATGCTTTGTTTATCTTCTTTTTTTGAGCAGTGTGAATATATTCAGGGTCTGTGTTCTATAATATGGAATCCTTATTATTTCTAAACAGTTCTTACAGAAGAGGAAGTGTGATGTATAATACAGAGACTTTTATGTACTCTAAGAGAATAGTAAGTTCTCCTGGCCATACATACCTCGAGTTTATATTTTTTTACCAGATCCAAGGATATCTGCATGCGTAAACCAAGGGTATAATTACAGTTTTAGTTCATTTCAACTCTGAAATCAATCTATGGTAAGTTATATTTCAGAGCAGAACTCCAAAACGCTGGCTGCTGCAGACTCACTGGTATGAGACCCTGACAGATCTAGCTATCAGTCTGTAAGCTAGAATTAATTTGATCCTGTAGCTTTTTGAATGTGCACAAAAATGCTAGGTATCTCTGAAAATTATGATTCTGCTTCTTCACGTGTTTTTGCAGGACACTACTCGCTGTAGGTATCAAATATCAATATCAGACAAAACAAATTTATTACAAAATCACACTTGAAACCCATAAATTGCTGAGTAGAAAAACTAAAAGCAAGCCGTTCATGTCTGTCTTTGGCATTATTTCATCTTTTTGGTTTAAAGCAACAAAAATATTTTTTTCAGGAAACTGGTTTTGCTGGTGTTGTTGATGGCTGTTTTGTTCAAATGTTGATTTTATGCTTCCTTATAAAGAAAAATGTAAATAGTTTTAAACTTCCATTTTGAAAAATGGTTGTTTTGAAAAAAATTGTGCTTTATTTGGAAATAGTAAAGCAGGTTACTCTAAGTTTCATACATTACTGGGGATCTTGGAAAAAGAACTCAGTCTCCTGAGTTATTCAAGCCTTTAAAATATTTCTTTGCCATGAGGTGCCTTAAAGTATTCCAGAGTCTTATTTCTAATAAATATAATTATTTATAGTAATACTGAAAATCATCAGTTACAGAACTGTTGTTTCTTAGGTGTAAAAAATCTAGGAACAGCCTCTACTTCTGATATTGAGAATTGTTTTTCGCACATTTGTTTTGGTATGTCTTTGCTCCACCCCTTCTCAAAAGACCGCTGTGAGCCAACAGAGCATGTTGGCATTTCCAAAGCCACAGTTCACCAGGACAGGCTATTTCATGTTTTCCTTATTTGCTTGTTTTAAGGACAAAAATTCTCTTTAGTGAACTGCACCATTTACCAGATGGTCATAATCTTCTGCGATACCATTAGTACTGCCCTTTGGAAGAGGGAGGACTTTTTGACCAGCCTCAGTAGTGCTGGTTACTTAAGTAATGTTGATGGTTTCTTTCAGCCTTCCCAATAGATGTGTGAAATAAGATTACAAAAAGAATCAGAAGAAATGCTGCTCTTTTTTTTTGTTAAACTGACCCTTTGAAATATCTCACTTCAAAATTTGCCTCTTTTTTTTGGAGAGAAGAAAGAGTTGAAATCACTGCTTTCCTGTGATGGTGATAAGCATAACAGTTTTGCAGAAGATGTGGCTTTCTGTGTATGTTTTACATTGTGTAACAGCTTGCTGCTTTTTCATCATTTTAACTTTGGTTTTTGTTTGGTTTGGTTCTTGCATTTGTTGTAATAATTTGATTTTGGTATTGCTATGGAATGATTTCTTTTGTGGACGTTCATGTGACAACTGCTGTCATACAATAAAAGGCATTTCTCAGAAGCCTGTCTTAAGTCTGTTGTCATTGCAAATGTGTGTCTGAAGGCAGAAGTTATGGGCTGAGCTAAGTCAGGACATGTCTGACATCTCCAAACATCTCTCGGTGGCATCAGTAGCCCCAAGACCTGAAAATCCACTTGGAGGTACAAAACACAATAATACATGCCAGCTTGGTTTTACCAGTTTTCTCCAGTCCGAGATCTCTCAGATCACATTACCAAGATTTTTGCTTTAATTGCTAAAAAGTATTGCAAATAGATTAAAAAAATTGTGATGGGAGAACTTCTAAAGTTGCACCAGTGCAGATGTGGTATGGTCTCTGAAGCAGCTGGCAAGCTCACTGGGCTGGACAGTGGAAATGTGGAAGGTCAGTGGACAGAAGTGAGGTGGGTTAGCAGCATAACTCCAAAATCTGTTGTTACCACTCAGTCCTATGCTTCTGTCTGAGGAGTTTGTTGCTTAATTTAAGAAGACACTCAAAAACTGCTTTTTTCTGAAAACCATGCAAAATTCCTCCCTATGTCTTCCAACTGTCTCAAGTACTTCGCTCTGCTATTTTGATGCAGGATTTTTAGTACAGGATTAATTATGTGCATTTGCCAATAATCCCCCAGTGCAGCATGTTGCAGGACCTAGTAACAACACGAATTGTCATCTCTCCTTTTCTACCATGGAATATGTGTTAAGAATTTCTCATATTTTTACCAAAAAGTCTACCTCACAACCACCATGCAGCTGTCTTAGTTGCCTCTAAGCAAATTTGGCTTGGGTTGTCACAGCACAAGTCGCCTGTGGGATGTGCAATATTCACCTGGAGCTATATCCTCCCAGAGCAAGCACTTGCCAAATGTGTGTGCTCCTATGTTAATACAGCAGTTTTAGAAGTGGAAGAAGGAGATTTGTTCCCTTGCCTGAAAGAGAGCTGTCGATAAGTAGCAAAGCCAAAGATGCTTTTTAGGAACCTGCTCACAAAACAAGCATGAATTTCATAAACTCAGTGTTTAAA